TTTGGTGTAAGGGTTGGAGTTAAATGATAGGGTTTAGGATTAATTTTAGGTGCAAGGTTAAGAGGCATTTTATGAAAGCTATCAAAGAAGTTACATCACTTTGCTGACATTGAGAGAGGAATTGAGACCAGGATGGAGTTCCTAGGGTAGCACAGGCCCAGGACTGTGCTGCCAGTGGCAGTCAGGAACCGGTGATCAGATAATTTAAAGAAAAAAAAAATGTTTATTGACTTTCAGAAACGTAGAATTTATGGAAGGATCCATTAGGTCTATGCCAATGGTTCTCAACCTGTGGGTGGTGACCCAAAAGTGGGTCGCAGCCCACAGTTGAGGGAGTCGCCACGTGTCTTGTGCTGCGCTATGAGGAGGCTCTTCAGCCTCCTCCTAGAACAGCAGTGTCAGTTTTCCAGCCACGCCGCAAGATGGCGCTGCAGCCATGGCGGCCAGGGAGGATCAGAGAGAGGGGAGCAGGCAGGCATAACACATTGGGGGGAATTTATCAAAACTGGAGCAGACAAAATCTGGAGCAGCTGTGCATGGCAACCAATCAGCTTCTCTTTCATTTTCAGATCATAACTGGACTAACTGAAGAGAGAAGCTGATTGGTTGCCATAGGCAACTGCTCCAGATTTTGTCTGCGCCAGTTTTGATAAATTCCCCCCATAGCGTTACGGGACATGTCAGGAGCGGCGGGAGTGAGGGGATATGAGTGCCGGCTATAGTGTCCACTATGTGTGTACATACAACACATTACATGAGCCCACACAGGCTACCACAGAGCCCGCACTGGGAGCACTGAACACCCGAGTGCCCGCACTGACCACCAGAGAGCCCGCACTGACCACCAGAGAGCCCGCACTGACCACCAGAGAGCCCGCACTGACCACCAGGGAGCCCGCACTGACCACCAGGGAGCATGCATGTAGGTAGGTGCAGTACGGCCAATGGCCACTAGATGCCCCCATGGTGCTCTGGAGATAGATGCAGCTCTTGTTGGACTGTATCGTGGCTGTAACCATCCTGAGGAGGGTAGGTGTGCAATGGGGCTATGCCCGACATAGGGTGCCGTTCATGGTGGCCTTTCCTCCTACGAGGGAGGAAGCGCCGAATACCGCAGAGGCGGTTGAAGCCATGAGGCCCTGTGTGCGCAATACTACACGTGTGGGAGTGTTTGCACGAGGCCAGAGCCGTGGCCCCTGGCCGTGGGGTGCCTGGTGTCGAGTTGCATGCACGGGGTTACCAGAGCCAACCCAAGGGGAACACACACGCAACACCCCAAGAGTGACTGACCACCAGGGAGCCCGCACTGAACACCAGAGAGCCCACACTAACCACATGAGAGCCCGCACAGATACTAGTATTGGTGCATTCCTAAATTTTACCATTGGGGGTCACCACAACTTGGCAAATGTTACCAAGGGGGCCCTGCCCTAGAAAGGTTGAGAACCACTGGTCTATGCAATCATATCTAGACAATGCCTGGTTATAATGAATGGTCATGAGTTACACAAGAGGACACTGAATTAAAAATATATATATATATCAATAAAACCTATCCAGTCTGGAATTCACATCGGTGTATCACATAGGTGGGAATGAAGGAGACCCAACAAGGGTTAGATGCTAAAGAGCTGTCACACCATGAGACCAACAGGCTGCATTGGAGGGAAAAAGCACAAGCAGTACAGGAAGGTAAGAGAGAAAAATGTAAGTCAAGGGACAGTCAAAGAGTGAGAAAAGAACAGGAGAATAATACCAGGTGTCCAGAGGGAACGGGGAAAAAGCTCCCAGGAATAAAAAATAAACAAATCTCTACATCAAGACATCTTGAAATTGTGACGAGTCCATGAGAATGCTGCAAATAGTCACTGCTGTCATGTGAGCAGTATAACAATTATGAAACTGAGTGGTCTGTCCATCCTTTTGTGTGAATGGGATTAAACAGTTCCATAACCCATTCTCACATCGTTCGGGTGAGCATAGTCTTCCAATGCCTGGGAATGACTGCCCTGGCATACAAGAAAAAACATAGTAGGCCCTTTTAAGCCACAGAGATGGAGCATCTAAGCTTAGACTGTCACTGCTCTGTATCTGGCAAAAATACTAGATTCAGTCCCAGTCTCCCTCTCACAGTGCCAACACGGGTCAGACGTATTTTGCCAGGTCATTAAAGCCAGTGATTAAGAAACAGGATGGTGCACTGGCCCCGGGACTTTCCCACGGAAAAGTCTGAGTATGTCCGAGTACCATGTCCTCCTGAGCTAGTCCGGTGCATTGAGGATCACCAGCAGTGGTTTGTTGTCTCTCTATACAGGTTATTGTGTTTACTCTGGGGCGCTCGTCCCTCCCCCCTCTGGGACTGGTGGTGCCTGGCCCCGGGGGGTGATGGTGGAATGACCCCGCTCTATTGCCCAGTCGTATTGTCCCTTTTTCCACGTCCGTTTAACCACTAATCGACAGGGACCCCAGAGGGGTGTCGTGTGCGCATCGGCTCCACCATCCCTCCACATCTTTCTGGACCTCTTTCAGGTCCAGAAACTCTGGTCAGTTCGGATGACCCTTCTACGCTGGAGGTCTAGACTCCACGGTCACCCAGCAGGCAGTGCCACAGCAGTGGCCTATATCAACCATCGGGGAGGTAATGAATCTGACTTGGGCAGATCGAGCACATATATGTAGCAAGTCAGTTTGTTTTATAGGAGCATTTTTGTATTCAAATGTAGCCCCCTAAGTATTTATTATAAACATATGTAACCACCTATTAGAAGCGCAGTGCACTCTTATTCACAAACTCTGGAGTTGAACTTTAAAAATGCATTTAAAATACCTTAACTATTAACAAAAGGATATCTTACTTGTACATCAGCTGTAGATCCTCAAATCATCTCTGAATTGGTGCTGACACTGTCCTTCCTTCTGGAGGGTGGCTACTTTTGTTCCACATGGTCCCTGTGTGTTTTAAAGTAGCCACCATTTCAAAAGCTTGATCACATGGACTACAAACTCGCATTTAAATTTACTAATTTGTATCAAGATTGTAGTCCATCATGGGCATGAGCTTGGAGCCACCCACCAGGAGAGAGTGTCTGCACAAAATCAGAGATAATTTGGAGGATCTACAGCTGAGTGATATACAAATAAGATACATTTTTGTTAATCGTTAAGGTACTTGAATGTATTGGTAAAATTTAACTTAAGTTTCGGGTCACTTTAATCAATGACCACTTACCCAGTCATCCTGTACTCATTCATCTACAGTATCTGAGCGCTTACCCTTTGTTATATTGGAAGCCTCATTACATTCCAGTATGGTTAGTTACAAACATACACAATCTGTATATTTATTATTTTAACCCTCTCCAAATCTGGGGATAACTTGAATAGTACAGAAAAAAAGTATGTAGTGGATTTGCAAATTCAGTAGATGCACACCATAAGGTTTAAACATTTACTTTATACAGGTGTGTATGGTTTTGCATATTTTTTTTACCCAGCAGATAGAGCTTTAGGATCCTTTTTTGCATACTCCACTGGCTGCTTAACAGTCTAGTATGCAGCCCTAAGCTCCAAGCAATCTGTTTAATATATGGATAGGAGTCTGACTGGACAGAAAAAAAAAAGCAGAACTCTGATAAGCTCAGCACACACTGTTCTCTCTTATGAGAATGCTCCTTGCACATAAAACACCTACATTGCTCCTCGTGCAGCTTCCAGATGTCTGCAGACTGGTCATATGAGTGTTTGCTTCTCTGGTGTTGGGCAGTCCTCAAGGCAGGGTGGCAATAACATCTCAGGCGACCATGACACCCTACATTCAATGTCAGCTCACAAATCCACTATATACACCATCTTTATTTCAACCCCTAAAAAACTGCCTTATATAGACATGTGGGAACAGGACATGGCCAAAATGTTAAATCTGGACATGATGCATACAATAACCTCTACAGCAGGGGTAGCCAAACTTCAGCCCTCCAGCTGTGGTGAAAATTCAGACCATCATGCATTTGCTTCTGAAGTCGTTTGAGGTCGTCAGTTTTGCAATGCCTAAAGGGAGTTGTAGTTTCACCACACCTTGAGGTCTGGAGTTTGGATGCCCTGCTCTAGAGCTTCTCACGCATATGAGAGGCAAATCATAATGTTCTAATGAGATGGTACATGGTTCTAGCTCATAGCTTCAGCTGTTCCAGGAGCCTCTCCTAATTGCTTGAGGTTGTGGGGTTGTGGACAGTACGGTCGCTTACCACATTTGGTGGACTTGCCAAAGGAACTATATAAACTTTTTTTTTATAAGGGGTAGTGGAATTCACCCCCTCAGTGCAACCCATCTACTTAGCCCTCCAGGATTTTGTATTAATGAGCCCCAGACACTATGGAAGACTTCCATGTCATTCAGTATAGCAGACAATTTTTAAAGTCATCCAGAAATGCTTAGTCTTGACTAGTTCAAAAGGGATGGAAGAAGTCTTCCAGATCTGGTGACATATTCTAGCTGCTGTAAAATTAAAAGCGGTCAATCTTCTGGAGTGTCTGGGAATTCCCCCAATAGATTTTTAGTAACACTTCAGATGGAGATTTGCTGAGGTTTATTTGGCTAATGAAGATGACGTTATTTACACTCCACCATTCGTGGTGTTCCACATTGAATTGACAATATGCTTTAGTGTTACTATAAATTATATTTCCTCAATTTACAGATCTGAAGTAGCTTATCACTTGTCTGTGTTCCTCCAAAGCAGAAGACACTTTATCATTAAAGGTCCTCTAGTTTTACCATGGAGATTCACAGAAGAAGCTTGAATACTGGAGCACCTAAACATACCAAATACTGGGGCAAAGCTTTCTTACTACTGTCCCAGAAAGCAAAATTACTCCCAGCACTGAAGATGATTTCTTAAGGCAAGGAACCTTATTGGGGGGTAAGTGAGTACATTATCTAAACAGCGATTCTTCAGTTTTAGGTTCTACTCCATTCTCAAAAAGACACCAAAAGCCATTTATCTTTCATCAGTTTATTGGACAAGACATCTGAGCAGGTATCCTTACATTGGTTTGGGAGGTGCTCTTGGAGGTGCACCCTAGAAGAAAAAGGAATGCAATTACCAATCACAGAACACTGAAATGGCAAGTTTCAACACAAGAAAAGGACCATGAACACCCACAAGTATCAATTACAGTGCTTAATAGACAATACAAAAGCTGTAACCTCCAAATAAATCAACAGTGTGTTAACTCAAGTACACTTATCCTTTTTACCCCTTTGCCGTAACCCAACTCTCCCCTTCCAAAGATGAATACTTATGTGATCCAGCAGCCATGGTTTCTGTTGTCTATTTTAACCCAGCAACACAACTCTCATTCTTCTGAGCAGGCCTGCACATCACAGCCATAGAAGTCAATGGGGCTGTAATGCAGTCGTAGCCAGGAGAGCACCTGGAAGTGGCGTCTAGAAGTGTCAGCCTATACTTTTTGTCCATCATTGGTGAGATTTCCCCTCCCTTCCTGTCCTCGTCTTTAGTTCAACTTTAAGTTTCAAAAATATCTAAAAGCCAACTTTTTCAAAATTGTGGATGGAGCAGGGAAAGATCAGAACCTCAGTCAGAATTTACTGACATGCCAGCTGGGAAGAATCACCCCATAACCTGGTGACTCAACTGCACTGCAAGTAATGTAATTCCCAAATCGAGTTGTCCCAAAACAAGAGGTGAAGCCTTCCAATGGAGATAAGTGAAGGAAAAATTCCAAGGGGACAGAGATGGCAAAAAAAAACAAAACAGACAAGGGTTTTAACGAGGTGCACCAAAAATGAAAATAAAAACAAAAAAATGTCAGGCCGAAACCAAAAATTATTTTAACCTTTTTTACTTTACTGTTGTGGGCTCTGGGAAATATGTCTAAACAGACCCCTGATATTTCCCTTTTCAAATAGAAAGATTGAGGATAGAGTCCTCAAATATTTTTCTGCTGCCTGTCATAAATGAACATGAATCCTCTATACCGAGTATTCCTGTTCATTCATAACTTGTGGAGATAGAATGTTTACTGATGCGGGAAGAGAGCTTGGTCTATTTTGACAGCTGACCCCCCTCCCCACCGGCTCGGCCTCTTGTGACACACTGGCCACTCACAGCGTTCTCCTACCCTGCACCGCTTGGCCTCCTCTGACAGTTTCTCTACTCCCTGCGTCAGAGGGGATGTGTCAGTGATGCACCGCAATTTCAGCCGAAAGATGGCACTCTGCATTTTGCCAAAAGTTCAATTTCGGCCGTCGAAATTCCGGTGCATCCCTAGTTTTAATCATTGCCTCTTTCAGTCTAAATTAGAAAAAGTGTTGGTGTTATATATAACAGTGAGAGAGTAAACGAAAGGTTGAAGTTACTCAACAAATGCATCAGAATCACTGTAATGAAAAACTTCTAGCTAAAAGAATTAAAAGCAGAAGATACATACCGCAGGCCGGAACCTTGGTGGTGGTGTGCGATCCTTGCGTGCCTCACGAGAGCGGTTTCTGACCACCTTGCTGTGAATGGCACAGCTAACACAATAGTGCAGTTTCACATACAGCTTAGGCAGCGCATACGCTAAAAGAAAAGAGCATAAAAGGATTACAAACCTTAACCCAAGTGTGACAAGAGCACAAAATAAAACATACACTAAAGAGTAAAAACAAACTTACAATCAAAGACACTAGCGTCAGAGATATCCCTGACAGCTGCAGCCTCAACAATGTTTCTGATCACAAACTTCTTGATAGCTTTGTCCTTTGGGACACAGCGAGCGCAGTTGGTGCATCGGATGGGCTGGACATGTCCACGTCCCTTCTTGGCACGTCCGTTGTTCCTTCTTTTCTTTGTCTATATAAAGAGATTACACAATATTTCTCCAATCAGAGGATTTCTTAAAATTATAATGGTTCACTTTAAGGCAGAACATTTTTTCAATGTCAGGATTCCCAGACTACCAGGGTGCATAGAAGATCATGCAAATATTCTACAACTATTCAGCTTTACTGCAAGAAGCGACTACTACAAAACATGAATGTAGCCTCGGCTCCAACTGCTGCCCCTATACCATTCTGGCCCAGGCTCCGCTGTAGAGCAATTTAATAGACTTAACGTAACTGAGGATTTCCAATTTGCAGAGCACAACTGTGCCAGAAAGCACAAAGGCCTTAGAGTACAATATCCAATGAGAACTTGCAAATTACAATTACCGCAGTTAAGAAACTTTAGTTCCTTACACAACTATACCAATCAAATCATCTGAGTAACAAGTGGTGTTGCAAGATTTAAGACATTTTTGAGGTAAAGGCTCATTTCATACCAGCCAAGCACTCCCATTCACATACTCCTCACCTGTTAACACAAGATCACCAATGGAAATCTGCAAACGTGTAAAGTGTATTTTTCTCTAGTACAAGCCGGGTATACACGTATCAAATTTCAGACGGGTCCTGATGAACTGGCAGAATTTTACAGTGTGTGCAGCTGTCGGCACCCTTCCTGCCATCATCCCTTGATCAGATGATCGAAGGAGACGTTTAGAAAAATGTCAGCCAATCAGCTGCAAACCCCATTCGGGAATTCTGACAGTGAGCGCTGTCAGAACACAAAGGAAACAGCAGGGGATTCAACCATCAATGCTCATCAGCATTGACGAAGGAATCTGTTCTATTTCCATATTGAACCCAGAGGTTAAATGAAGAAAATATGTATATGTGTATATCCAGCATAAGACCTGTATCTGGTTACTACATATAGTATTAGATTTTACACATATCTTTATGTCTCTACACTTAGATGCAAACCAAGCTGAACCTGGACAATGTAACCGGTGTGAATAGTCAACTTGTTACTCATGGTTAGAGCCCAACTCTAGACAACACACTTACCAGGGTTCTGGCATTTCTATAGTCCTCGCTTTCAAAAGTATCCACTCCCTGTCATGCTGGCTTTTCTACACCCACCAAATCTCTCACTTAAATGCCAGGTCAGCACCAGCTGTTTGGATGTTAGCACTGCAGTCCTGTCTCCCGCTCCTCCTGGCCATCTACAAGACACACAGCCCAAGGCTCCATTTGGTGAATGGCCAAGAGGAGAGGAAAGCGAGGACAGCAGCACTGGCATCTGATCAGCTAAAACCCAATCACATGACCCTTCAGTACTAAGGCTTCTCTTGCACTTTGTTTTCCTCTGGCAGGGCACTTCAGTTCTAATTGGCTGTTCAGTGGCAAGGTGTGAGAATGTTCATAGTACGTGTTCATCATGCTGAGATCACGGCATGCATACCGAAATAGGACATTGTTACATAAGGTCTCTTGGGCCTAGTAGTGCTTCTACACATGGACACAGAGTTATCGTACTAGATAGCGCCGTAATAACCACGCTGAACGCGGCGTCTCAGCCGGATCCACCCACACGAGGCCTCACTAAAGCCGGGGAACAGCACAAGCCGCATTACGACACAGTAACAGAAAATGACACTATGAGCCCAGGCTCGTTATTAGGAGCGGCGGAGCTCTCATTCACACAGACACACACACGGCCTTCTTAACAGCCACCTCGCTTTCTCACCATCTTGGACTCGAAGGCTGCAAAGAGGACCGGAAGTCGCAGCTCAATCCTTATAAAGCCGATCCCTCCGCGGCGGAAATGACGCAGCTCAGTGCGCCGTATAGCCCTAGTTGCGGATTAGCCGACCGACAAATAACCCCGCCCACTGAACTGTGTTGGTTTAAAAAAAAGGGGGGGACTATTTAACTAGCGTTGCGGAAGGATCAAACTATAGTCTGTGAGCAGTGTGTCATGTAAGAAGAGAGCGCATGCGCGTCATAAGGCGGCTTGTGGGGCGGAAATAAGAGAAAGCGATATGTATAGGCAGACTGAAAAGGGCTATGTACAGTCATTCTGGACTCTGGATTGTTGTAGGGAATACTTCCCATATAAAGCTTCTTATACTATACAGAACGATTGGACACAATGAGGAGGAGGGCTTTACAATTCCAGGGGTAGCAGATTGATTTAAAAAGTGTTTTTTCTGCAGTGAAGAATACTTGTCAGCAACAATGAGCTGGCTGAACACTTGTAGATAGACACATCCCCACTGGGCTAAACACAGAACAAACTTTGGATTCCTCACTCCATATTAAAAATCATGGATGGACGACTCTCCCCTGCCTGGCTTTTGTATTCTGACAGCTGGCAGCCATGGCATCAGAATATGCAAACTGACTGCTACTGATTGGCTGAAGTCACTGTTCGGCTGACGTTTTTCAACAAAAGTCAACTGATAAAGATTTAGATGTAGTATTAGGCACAGTAGGCTTGTATCCATAAGCAGCAGTAGTAGTCTGCCCTTCTATAGTTATTGGTTGGACATTTTTCCATCCCCAGTAGAAATACAATCAGCTCCTATGAGCTTATATACCAGGTTAGGATCCCCAAGGACACATTCAGACTGGCTCAGTGTGTTTCTATGCAGTGTTTTGCACCTCAAAGGTCTGCCAAGGCCCTGCAATGCAGATTGTAACAGGCATGAGTTATTTCCCATTGTGGTGTGCTGTATGGCTGCTGAAAGGTCATTCAGAAATAACAGCACTGCATTAGCTTTGTGTGTTACAGTGCGTTGCTGTACAATGCTCATTGTCTGTGCATTTCCACAAAGCAGCAGTCTGAATGGGGCCTCCTTTGTGAAAGTGGGATTTTAGCTGAGTGATATTGCATTGGGCTCCAATGGCTGCGTGCCATTCGAGTTTGCTGTCCCTCTTTGTACCAATGCTACTTGTCTGGATGTAATAGTTCTGTTCTCTAACCCTCAACGATTCTGCCGATGACTTCCATCACACTTTGCCGATCAGCTAGCATGCCTAGAAGGAAGTAGGCAGCTGCTAGACTCATCCACCGAACCAACCGCCCAGTGTCTACAACCCCCCTCTGCCAATCCCTACACTGGCTTCCACTCGCCCAAAGGATACAATTGAAAATATTAACAACCACATACAAAGCCATCCACAACGCTGCCCCCAGCTATATCTCCAACCTCGTCTCAAAGTATCACCCTAACCGTCCCCTGCGCTCCTCCCAAGACCTCCTGCTCTCTAGCTCCCTCATCAACTCCTCCAACACTCGCCTCCAGGACTTCTCCAGAGTCTCTCCCATCCTCTGGAACTCCTTACCCCAAACTGTCTGTCTATTTTCTACTCTGTCTGCCTTTAGGAGATCCCTGAAGACTCATCTCTTCAGTGTAGTCTTTCCCACCTCTACCTAACCCGCTGAACTATCACTTTCTCAAACAACTCATTCTCATGCAGATAACACCTTTTATATCACTTGCCCTTCCCTCTTAGAATGTAAGTTGTCACAGGCAGGGCCTTCCTAACCATCTTGTATTGAATTGTAACTTATATTCTAAAGTGCTGTGCAAACTGTTGGCGTATATAAAGTCTTATAATGTAAATATAAAGTATTATAATGATAATAAAGTGAGAACTTGCGTGAATTGTGCTCACTGGACCTGTGGAATGGCTGCTGTTATAAAGCCAAGAGCCTGCTTGATTCTTCTTCCAGAAACTATCTAAAAAGAACGCAGGATAAACACTGCTGGATTCTGAGTGTAGTTTTTTTCCGAAGAACATTTTGCCAGTTGTGGATTAAAAATCACATTCAAAGAAATCTGAACTGCAGATGCAAATTTCTCAAATGGGGCATACAGTATTCAGGCAAGCAACCCTTCAAAATAGACCTCTGGAACAGCTGTAGACATTCAAATACTTAGAGAGCCTAACAAGCAGTAAATACGTTTTAAAATAATCCACCTATGTAGTTAAAGCAACTGTGGAACAATTCATCCTTAAAGTTCACAATAGAAGCAGTGAAGTCTTTCAAGTTAGGTCTCAGACGTTTTCTCTCTCCCTTCTTCCTGCTTGATATTTTTAGTAGAGATTAGAAGGCTGGCAAGCTACTCATTCACTACTGACAGGGGGAGCCGAGCTTCAGTAAGAAAAAGAAAGCAGACTTTGAGGATGAATTACTCTTCAGTGCCTGCAGTTACACATGTTAACAAGGGTTTTGTTTTAATTTACTGCTTAAGACTAGGTACATTTGAATATATATTGCCTAGCAACGGTTCTACTTTGAAGCTTAAAGTGGACCTTTACCCATATGTTTAACACAACAAACACACCGTTAGAAATGTTCAGTAATGTCAATCTACAAACACATACTTCTAGATAATTGCCGGCTTTGTATTCTTTGCATTCCTTGTTTCTCTTTTCTTCCCCAGTCTTTAGACAGCGGCCATGTTTACTAAGGGCAGATTACTAAAGCTCCATTTACTTCCTGAAAATCTGGTGACCAGGACATGTGACCAGGACATGTGACCATGCACATCATCTCAGGGGAGGAAAATGCCTTTCCATGAGATTTTCCAGCAATGCTCTGCTGATGACAAGGCAATCCCAGTGTGCATTGCTTTGGCAAACTGAATTTTGCCCTTTCAAAGCAGGAAGTGAATGCTCTGCAAGTGTAAGTATTTCAGAATCACAGCATTTTACACCTGGCATGCCTATGTTATTATTATTCATCATGCAGAGGGATGCATTGGTACAATTCTTGAGTGGTACAATTCTTGAGTTCAATTTTTGAGTGTAAGGGTCTGTTTTAAGTCCTCTACATGCCATGCAAATCTCCCCCTTTGGGCATCATGAAATCTAAGATATGTAAAATGTAAGAGATGTTATTAAAAAAGTAAAAATGTTATGATTTTCTCATGAATTCTGTAAACTTGTCTTTCTCGCACAGGTCAAGTGACCATTGTCACACAATTGATTGTGGTCTCTAGAAAAGGTAACTGTTCA